AATGAAAATCTGTAAGTCCCTTGGTGTCATAAAGAGGGCATGGTAAGCAGGTATTATGGTTGAAAATCATGTACATGCCACATGTGGTGGGCACATGCTGGCAGTCCCAGAACTCAAGAGGATGAGGCAGGAGGATCCTGAGTTTGAGGCCAGTCTGGGTTATATGTGGAGGTCAAGTCCACCCTGGACTAAACAGTCACCAAAGAACCAAAACAAAGACACAAAACAAATCCTGTAATACCTTTGACTTGTGAAAGAATCCAATCAAATGTTTCCTTAGGAAGTCAATGTTTTAATGTATTGTTTTCTTAAAGCACACCGAATTTTTCCTGGTTATAGAACCACTGAAGAATTGGCTCAACCAAAATCGGGTTAGATTTTAGGAGGCTCTGGCCTCAGTCAGGAAGACGAAGAAGTTAAACCTGTCTGCTGAGATGCAGCAAGTTTCAGAGCTCCCACCAACAGCTTCTCAAGCTGGAAGCATCACCACCAGTTTGTGAGCAAATCTGATTCCAGAGCGCTTCCTAGGGGGCTGGTTCTGTGTGTGAAGCCTGGCGTGTAACCCTCTGGGCCCACTCGAGCTCTCGGGTACTGGCTGTGGGGCCCCGCAGTGCGGGCTTCGAAGGAGCGGGAACCGAAATTGGAAGATTTGGGTTTGAATCTGACTTTACAGCCCTTACCAACATACTTTGCTTCAGTCTCTGCGCTTGCTTTCCAGTCTCTACAGGACTCCAGCTAGCACCTGGTTTGGAGAGTAAGCACTGTTTTAAATGCCTAGGCCACACCCAACAGTCTGGTGTCCACCCCAGCCTTTTATCCGGCTTAAACCAAGACCCCGCCCGCTCCTCCGCGCCGCGTCCCTTAGCGCCCTTGTTTTGGATACCGGATCTGAGAGCTGGCTTCAGGGGCCAACACCAGGTGCGGACCGTTTTGCTCTAGGCGCTGTAGGAAGCTCAGTTTTTTTTCCCCTTCCTGGACCGCAGCGCACAACGGCATGGCGGGTCCCGGGGCTGGGCTTGTGCACCCCCAGAGTCCCGCAAGGGCAACACGGGCACATTCCACGCTTCCGTCCTCGCCAAGTGCAGAGAGAGCCACCCCTTCACTGCGCCCCCACCTCCCCCGGGCAAAGACGCGGGGAGGGGAAAGGGGCGGGGCGGCCCGGCGTTTGAATGCCCTTGAGCCTCTCCCATTGGAGGAGCGCTCCCGCCACGTGGCTTGGCTGGCCAGGTGCTGATTCCTCCACTTTTTCTTAACTATTATTTTACAAACCTGTGGAACCCAGAGATCTCCAGAAGCATTCTAGTGGTTTTTCTCCTCTTCCCCATCTGTTCTACAAAAGAGTGATTGTTTCAGGGAAATAATTCTGTCCCCTGTAGTTACGCATGGTTTTGAAACTGCATCTTTATGAGGTCAAAAGCAGGTACTACAAGAACTAGGAATTGTTTGTTTTATATATGTAGTTATTTGAATCTTAAAAACCTAAGTATAATTAAAGGCAATACTATGCTATGTAGTGTCAAAATCTTAAAAATAAAGCCAGAGTTTTTGTTGGAAAGAATATAACAAAGACACAAAGTTCTCATTTTCAATCAGGAACCGATTTATTACCGTTTTGGCTTGCAGTAGTTCTGGAACATGCTACTAAAGGGGGAATACTCGGATTCTCATGTTCTCTCTCCATTCTCCTTTTATTTTTCCAGTCCAGAGCACAACCACCAGAAGACAACAGAAGGAAACCAGTTTTGGGGAAACTTGGCACTCTGTTTACAGCTGGAAGGAGAAGGAACATCAGAAACGGGGTAGAGAGTCCCGGTCCCACCAGCTCAAACACCAAATCACTCTCCCCCAAAGATGGAACCTCTTCTAAACTCCCCGAAAAAGAGAGTGAGAAGAGCAAAATACCGTGCAGCCAACTACAGCAAGCGGAGCCCTGCGAGGCGGGTTCCTCCCAGGAGGCGCCCCTGGAGGCTGAGGCCAAGGACCTGGGGGAACGTATCCAGGCAACCCCCACAGACGCCGAGCTGTCACCTGCGTCAGGCAGCAGTGCAGCGGTTGTGCAGCAGTGCCGTGATTCACCTCAATTAGAAGAACCTCTGCAGGCAGGGGGAGAGACCTTCCCGGATGCTACCATCGCTGCCAAGCAGCTGCATTCCTCACCTGGGAATTCCTCCAGGCCAGAGAACGCCGAGACGCCTGCCCGCAGTCCGGGGGAGGATGCCGTGCCCAGCACTGGCCCCGACCTGGAGACTGTGCCGGGGTCGCCCACCGGGGCAGGACTAGGTGAGCCCCCCGACGGAGCCCCCCAAGTGGGTCCTGAAGGAAGCGCTTTGCTTCACCTGGGCGTGCGCAGCCAGCCCCCGGAGAACGCTTCCGCTCTGCCGGGAGACCCTCCCGCCCAGGGCGCAGAGAATAGAGCTGGCTCCGGGGAGCCTAGCGGCACAGCACGGCCTGGGGATCGCGCCCACCCCGGCAAAGTGTTAACTTTGGACATCTACTTGAGTAAGACTGAGGCGGGGCAGGTGGACGAGCCGGTCGTAATTATACCCGTAGCAGAAGATTTCGGCGATTCCGACGACATGGAGAAGAGGTCAAGCGGCCGCAAGTCCGGCCGGCGAAGGAAGTCGCAGAAATCCACCGACTCCCCCGGCGCCGACACCGCGCTGCCCGAGAGTCCAGCCCGGGACGACGCGGTGTTCGACGATGAAGTGGCGCCGAAGGTCTCCGTCTCGGCTGAAAAGAAAGTGAAATCTCTGCGGGCGGCCCTCGAGGGGGGCGTTGCCTCCACGGCTAGCCCGGAGTCCAAGCCCGGCCCCAAAGGGCAGCTCCGCGGGGAGTCGGATCGCAGCA